CTGTATTTTAAGCTGTTGCTTAACTTTGTTCCTATGACAGCAAACATGCTTTAAATCTTTCCTTCTCTCAAGATTTCAATTACTGTTTTCAAAGAGCTATACATTAAAATTATGCTCTGGTTTTGGAGAGCGCTGAAGTGTGCGCTTAACATCAAACCACTCAAAGTTAACATGAATTAAGCATAATCTTGTGTGTTTTGCATGTTCTTCAACTAAGAATGAGAGAGAGAATCAAGTCCAAGGTCTTCCTGTGCCTAAGGGCATATTGGGCTAGCTTGGCTAAGGCACTCCAGTTTCTATATCCTATGGCTTATAAGCAGGGAGAATATAGCTAGCATCACATCCAGCCACCTTTGACTCTCCTACAGCAATAACCAGTTTCCCATTTACAACTGATATTGAAAAGATCATGCACAGGAAGCATACAAAGTCCAAGACATTTCAAAGTAAAGATAGAAATAACATGGCATGTTTATCAAGATATACTAATTAAAGCACAGATTGTTTAAATTGAAAAGTAAATTATCTGGCTTTAGTGTTGTTATTTTAAAGTATTTAAGTAATATGGAAAGAAAATAAGGGCTCATACCCAAAGAATTGCTTCAAAAACTGGAACCTCTAGAAGCTGCTGGTGTGACCACAGACTGAGACAGTTACCACTTCAGCATCACAGGGAGTAAACTGTTAGGCATGGCCAGGTGGTAAAAGCAAACTAAATTTAAAACTCTGAGACAAAATTGCTTAGGACAGGAGAGTTCAATCTCCAGCCTGTGGCACCATGTCATCTAGCCTGTGAGTCATAGAATCATAGGAAGTTATGGCTAGGAGAGACTTCAAGAGGTCTAGTTCAAACCCCTGCTCAGAGCAGGACCAACCCCAACTAGATTATCCCAGCCACGACTTTGTCCAGCTGGTGCTTAAAGACCTCCAAGGACAGAGATTCCACCACCTCTCTAGGTAACCCATTCCACTGTTTCACTACCCTCCTAGTGAGGAAGTTTTTTTTCCTAATATCTAACCTAAACTTCCCTTGCTGCAACTTGAGACCATTGCTCCTTGTTCTGTCATCTGCCACCACTGAGAACAGTTTAGCTCCATCCTCTTTGAAACCTCCTTCAGGTAGTTAAAGGCTGCTGTTAAATCCCCTCTGTCATCTCTTCTCTAGACTAAATAAGATCAGTTCCTTCAGCCCCTCCTCAAAAACCATGTCTCCCAACACCTTAATCATTTTTGTTGACCTCCACTGAACTCTCTCAAACTTGTTCACATCCTTTATGTAGTGGGGGCCAAAACTGGACACAGAACTCCAGATGTGGCTTCACAAGTGCAGAATAGAAGAAAATAATTACTTCCCTTGATCTGCTGGCAACACTTCTATTAATGCAGCTCAGCATACTGTTAACCTTCTTCGCAACAAGGGCACACTGTTGACTGGAATCCAGTATATTGTTCACTGTAACCCTGATGTCCTTTTCTGCAGAGATTAGTCAGTTGGTCCCAAGCCTGTAGCATGGGATTCTTCCATCCTAAGTGCAGGACTTTGCACTTGTCCTTGCTCATGAGATTTCATGAGATTCCTTTTGGCCCAGTCCTCTAATTTGTCTAGGTCACTCTGAATCCTAGCCCTACCCTCCTGCATATCTCCTACACCCCCTAACTTGGTGTCATCTGCAAACTTGCTTAGGGTGCAATCCATCCCATCTTCCAGATTGTTAATGAAGACAGTGAACAAAACCAGTCACAAAAGCGACCCCTGAGGCACTCCACTTGATACTGCCTGCCAACTAGACCTCAGGCCAGGGGGAGGTGGGTAGGGAGGGTGTTCACCCTAAGATGTAGCCTAGAGTAGCTACACCTTAGTGTAACACGAGCTAGATAATGTGGATCAGAGATAATCCTGCAATAGAACGGCATAACTTTGAGCCACATAACAAGTGCTCAAAACTAGTTTCAGGTGTTAATGTCCAGACAATCTAGGTGTTAGGAGCTCAAGGTGTTAGGAGCTGTCCAAAACTGTGGTGTAACAGGGCCCCTATTGTGTATCGGATCAGTAAAAAAGCATCATCTTCTAACATTTATGTTAATTAATAGATATTACATTTCTTCTTCTTAGAAAGATTGTCAGAGAACAAGACAAAGCAGATACCTGCAACTTGAGCTAATTAGGAAGGAACCAGATCAGATAATTGTTTGAAAAAAGTATGTAACTTCATTAGTAGGTATAGAATCTAGTTTAGTTTAATAACAGTAATATGTAAACTTTAATCACTTTCTCTTTCTCTTTTTTCCCTTTTAATCATCCCACAGCACCATCAAATTTAACAATTGAGAGACATGCTCCATCCATTGAACAGGTCATGTATGTAAGAATGAAAATAATAAGGCATATCATTCCACTGATTTTAAGCTAAGTTTCCATTGAAAGTCTAGCTGTGTTCTGTTTAAAAATATGTGGCATGTTACAACCTAATACTATTGCTATTTCTTTATTTTATGTGGCTTTAATTTTTTTCTCCCTGACAGATGGTTATGCTCCAATTCCAAACAAAAAAGGAAGCCAGAAAACCAAGTTCTTAATCCAACCACACATGATCTCAACCAAATAGCCAGAAAGAAAAATGTTTTGATATTTCCAGAGCAAAATGTTTTTGGAACTTCTTGTGCTGTAAAAAGTCAGGATAGTCTGCTTTAAAAAAAAAATTCAGACTGAAAACAAGATTCAAAATATCAGAGTTCCCACCAAATGGAAATCAGCTCTGTATTTATAGATTGCAGACTATTTGAGAAAAAAGAGAATTTTTACTTTCTTTCTTTCCATGTTTCTAACTCCTCCTACTACCAGCACCTGCGTAGATATGTGATGCTCCATCATATCACAGATTCTATGTATATTTTTTCAGTTTCTGTTGAAACATTTTCTTTGATCTTCTTAAACAAATTCTGCTGAACACTGCCCCTTTTCTTTCTTCCTAACAATGCTGTAATTCCTGTTTTGACAAGAAGCCAGCAACTCATGTAACCAATGATTCAAGCCAGCTAGCCAAAAGGAAATGCGCCAAATAACATTCCCTGTAAGAATGAGTCCCAGGACACTGATTTTCTTTGTTAGATGAAAATAACATGCGTGTTGTAACTGTTTTTCCCTTTCTGCATCTAATCAGTCCAGACAGTACCCAACAAGGTTCTGTAGGAATGAGTCTATCAAGCATCCAACGGCTTTGTGTTTTGCTTTTAGAAGACATAAATTTGTGTGCTTCTCCTAGCCATTACTTTCTTTTTATACATAGATCCAGTTCCCCAAAGTTCAGGGAAGTAGACTAGGAGAAACAACCCCGCTGATCAGATAACAACAGAGTTGGCGTACAGGAGATTTTGCCACCAGTGAGTCAAAAGATTGAACATTTCATCATAAAACATTAACATGTCAAAGCCTAAGTGGGCTTTTGGAACTTGTGGATTTGGATGAGTCTGGAAAAGAGATATTGTGGAGGAGAGAATGGATAACAATCTTTCAGCATGACCTGCAGGGTGGCCATGTAGAGGGTGGCTATTCTTTGTGGCCACAGGAGACAGAAGAGGAGCAGTGGCCTCCAGTGTAAATGCTGAAGGCTGCAAGTGCAGAGGAATGAGGGAAAGCCCTGCTGCTCTCCCTTTTAGCATCTGCTCTGTGCCGCTGTGTGTGGGGCATAAAAGGATCTTGGGCATGGGCCCAGGCAGCAGTGCTCAGCTCTTCTTCTTAAAGGAGGCTGTTCAATGAACACCAGGAGATCCCTTGGCGCAGCTAAAGCACCAACAAGGACAGAAGTGAGGGTCAGATATTAACGACGAGGGCAATAGGCGATGCATAGGGGGAGATCCTGGAGGGTACATGCCACCCCAAGACTGCCCTTTGCTGAAGTCACCACTGGCTTCTGTGGGCAGTCGCTGCTCACACCCACCCCTCCCTTGCTGCCGACACAGTCGGTGGTGTCTGCAGGTGGTCCCCACCTGCCATTCAACATCCCTCCCCCCCCACCGCCAACAACGAGGCTGGTGGCTGTGGGCAGTCCCCGCTCGCCACCATGGCAACCCCTCCCAGTCTCGGGAGAGACCAGTCATTCATGACCAGCGCTCCAAGACAGGCCACTGGGCAAAGCTGACGGGACGCACCCCCTGGCCCTTCAGCGCCTCCAAGGAGGCAGTGCACAAGTCTGGATTTGGATGAGTCTGGAGAAGAGATGTTGTAGGGGAAGGAATGGATACAATCTTCCAGCATGACCTGTGGGGTGGCCATGTGGAGGGTGGAGACTGAAACTATTCTGTCACAGGGAGATGGCCCCACAGTCACAAGGGGGGCTCCTAGCCACAGCCCCCTGCCCGCTCAGCTCATGGCAGCTCAGCTGAGGCCAGGAGGCTGCGGTGTCCTGGAAAGGGAAAGCTGGAGGCAGGGGCTGAGCCAGCAAAGGGCAGTCCGTGTGCTCTCGGGAAGAGGGGCAGGGGCTGCAGCATTGCCAGGTCAAGATGAAATGACTGTACTGGAAGCTCAAAAGGATCTTATTTGCTGAAAAACTAGCGTGCCCTGAAAAAGTATGCCAATAAGTATGCAAATTAAGTCTTCTTCTTCTTTACCTGATACTGCTCGCTACAAGTCTCCACTGAGTGAGTGAGACCTGGTCAGCAAAGGTGAAGCATTTCTTTATTTGCAGGCAAGCAGCCATGAGGACGAGCCGACAACGAGCAGCGCGGGCAGGGCAGCCTCCCTGAGAGGCGCTTCACGCCGCACCAACGGGCGGCCCCGGACGTGACAACACACGCAACAGTGTCACTCTTCTTGCTCCTCCATTCGACCACGGTTGAAATTATCGCTCAAATACGGTAATCACCGTCTCCCCGGCAACGCCAGCTCCCGTGGGGCGTGGCGTGGCGGGGCGGGAAAACTGACCTCGCCCCCGAGGGCCCACCCGGGCGACTGCCTTTCCCAGCGTGCCCTGCGCGCGGTGACGTTTCCCCCGGAGGTGACTAGCAGCAATGGCGGCGCTCGGAGCATGTTGCTGCTTGTGGGGCCGTTCGGCGTGCGCGGTCCGGGGGCTGCGGCGGGGCCTGTGGGGACGCTGCCGGCTTAGCCAGGCCGCGGGCTCGGAGGCGGGTGGGTGAGCGGCTCCCGCCGGCTGTAGGCGCTCGGCCCGGGGACACATGAGGCTGAAGCCGTTGAGAAGCAGGGCTGTGGGAGGGAAAGACACAGGGGAGCGAGAAGGTATTCTCCCAAGCTGACGCCTGAGCAAAGGCGGGTGCACTTGCACGTGAAATCCTCGCGCCCCCCCCCCCC